GGGGGGGGGGGGACACACACAAGAAGACGTCAGTTACAACTAACGCTTTGACCCTTCGCTATTATTTTGTCGTTAGTGTGTAATTTGTGCTCCACAGGTTTTCCCAGCCCCAGGCTTCTCAGGGCCCAGCCCTCCCCGCCCCCCTCTGTGACTCAACCTCCGCATCACTGACCCCTCCCAGACTCCTTGGCCAGTGACGTCTCTCTCCCGCCCTTCCTCTCCCACCCCCGACTGTTGAAGCTCAAAGTCCAGGAGGAACAGGCCCATCCGATGGACGTGCAGTGTTCGATGCAGAGATAAGCTCTGCTCCAGGGTGCTGAGCTACTGAGCACAGGAAATGCCGTAAAGAAGAGTCATGTGCAGTTTATGGCTCCAGGGAGGTGAAAGACACAGGACACAATGCTTAGAGGCCAAGTGAGAAGCTGACACTGTTTTGTTTTGTTTTAATTTTCCTAGATCACCACCACTAGAGCCACCTCTGGGGTATTTAAATTTTTCCATAGTCAGGTTTGGATTTGGCTGAAACATAACTCTTCCTAATATCACCTCCTCCTGTCTCCTCCTCAGCTGGATGGGTATGCACTAAGGTGGCCAGGGTAATTCTAAGCAACAGCAGGGGAAGGAGAATTCCTCTAGGAATTTTTGGAAGGATGTCAGGGCTGGAGGCCCAGAGAGAAGGTGGAGAACTGCTTGGGAAGGAAGGGTGAGAAGACACGACAGGGGCAGAGAAGGCCCAGAAGAACATCAAGAGGATTGTTTGCTTGTTTTTTTGTATCATTATGAATATTTAGTGATTCTAAGTTATTAATAGGTGCTGTGTAATATCTTTAGTAGACTAGGTCTATTTATTTCCACCTCTTGGGTTTGGTGGTTCTCATAGTGGGGATGTCAGCCAAAGTCTTAATTCCCCCTAACCTTGTGAGTCTCCATAGCAAGTCATAATTCATTCTGGCTGAAGAGTCTTTCCTTCTGTACCCCCCGCTAAAGTTAAGTTTCTAATACTTTTTAAAAATGCTACTTATACATCTATTAAGAGTTAAATTGTACCCCTACCCCCTCCAGAAATAAAGATGCATTGAGGTCATAACCCTCAGTACCTGTGAAGGTGACTTCATTTGGAAATAGGACCTTTGCACATGTTATCAAGTTAAGAAGAGGTCCTTAGGGTGGGCCTGACCCCATTATAACTGGTGTCTTTATAAGAAGAGGAAAATACCATGTGAAGACACACACACAGGAAAAGGCCATGTCATGATAGAGGCAGATTTAGCTACAGACAAAGAGCACCAAAGACTGACGGCCACCACCAGAAGCCAGGAAGAGGCAGGGGATGGGGGCGGGGGGTTCTCCCCTACAGGTTTCATAGGGAGCAGGGCCCTACCAGCACCCTGATCTTGGACTTCTGGCCTCCAGAACTATGAGGCAATAAATTCCTGTTGCTTTAAGTCACCCAATTTGTTGTACTTTGTTACAGCAGACCCAGGAACTAATGCAACATCTAAAACCACCCCCCCCCAAAAAAAAACCCAAAAATACCTCATTAGTTGCTATGTTTCCCACAGCAAATGCATTATGTTGTATAATTTGCATTTGATAACATTTCCATTTAGAAAGGCTTTGGGAAAATCTCGAATATATGATAAGATCACAAGTGTTTCAGGTTATTTTGTAGTCATACAGTATTGAAAATAACAAAAGCACACAGATGCTGATTTTTTAAATATAACAGACAAATTGAACACTTGCCCAATATCTATTTCTGCAGGGAGAATCCATAATATTTTATTTATTTAGTGTAATTTAGGTAGAATCC